TTGTTTTAAACTTGCTACCTATTAATTTTATTTGGTGACTCCCTCATACTTACGTTATGGGAACAAGTAAATAAATTCTCCTTCACTTTTTCCACACCAGTCATGATTTTACCTCTATCATATTTTCATATAGTCTCTTATTTTCTAAGCTGAGAAGTCCCAGTCTTTTTAATCTCTCTTCATATGGGACCTGTGCCAAACCCCAATCACTTTTGTTGCCCTTTTTTGAACCTTTTCTAATGCCAATATATCTGTTTTGAGATGAGGCAACCACATCTGTATTCAACATTCAAGATGTGGGCATACCATGGTTTTATATAGAGGCAATAGGTTATTCTCCGTCTTAGTCCTAACATTGTTTGCTTTTTTGACTGATGCTGCACATTGAGTGGATCTTTTCAGAAAACTATCAACAATGATTCCAAGATCTCTATTAGCTAAATTAATCCATCATATTGCCTGGACTGTTGGGATTATTTTTTCCCAATGTGCATTACTTTACATTTATCAATATTAACTTTCATGACATTTTGTTGCCCAGTCACTTAGTTAAGACCAAAGGAGACTGGTGAGATCTTTTTGAAGCTCTTTACAAACCATCTTGAGCAGTTTAGTATCCCCTGCAAATTTTGCCACCTCACTGTTTACCCCTTGCTCCAGATTCTGATAACTGACCATATATTCCTAGCCTTTGTTTCCTGTCTTTTAACCAGTTATCAATCCAGGTGAGAATTCCCTCTTACACCATGACAACTTATTTCACTTAAGAGCCTTTGGTGAGGGACCTTGTCAAAGGCTTTCTGGAAATCTAAGTACACTATATCTACTGGATCTCCCTTGTCCACATTTGTTGATCCCCCTCAAGGAACTCTAGTAGATCAATAAGACGTGATTTCCCTTTACGGAAACCATGTTGACTTCTCCCCAACAAATTATGTTCATCCACGTTTGACAATTTTATTCTTTACTACAGTTTCAACTAATTTGCCCAAAATTGAGGTCAAGTCCCGAGAACCAGTCTCCCTAGTTCAGAGATGGAATTATGCTGGTAACTGTAAACTTCTGAATCATTGTGCCTTTACTTTTCCTTTGAGTTCTCAGATCCAGAATGAGTCTCCATTCTCTGTTTTTTCTAGACCAGCAAGTATTTGGCTAGAAACCCTTTCGTCAGTCAGCACAGAGGTTTAGTAGATGGCTCATCTCCTGACTTAACAATTGCTCATGAAAAGCAGAGAGAGGGAGGTAAGAAAAGTGGGATGAAAGAACCACAAAAGATTTCTAGTACCTACTTGTCTGATGTTCTCTTTTCCTAGTTTTGTAAAAAGTGGAGTCCAATAGGATGTTGATGATTCAAGTTTTGCAACAAATTGATGGTGAGAGGTGGTAATTCGAGGCCTCAACATATTAGGGACATAATTGGTTAACCAGAATTGGTAAGGCTCACCTATTAACTGCCCTGGGCTAAATTGTAGGGCTACTAATTAACAGTTTTCTGCCAAATAAATCCAGTTTTCGTATGGTATCAATTTAGTGTGGCACCATGTGCCATGTTAATTTAACATGAAAGAATTTGTGTGTGAACAGGAAAATAGAGAGTCCACATCTTTAAAAGGGACATAAATATTATCAGCCTTTTTACATGTGAGCAGTATCATGGCTGTTTGCCACATGGTTTTGACTGGGTCTAGTAGGCCCTTATCGATAGAGATGGCATTATCAGCTAATAAGGATGTGTGCATGTTGTCAAGCAGCTTGCATTGTGACTCCTTCACTCTTCTAGGGTAATCTGAAGTGAGTCCTCTACTGTCTTGGTAAGTTCTTGAAACTGTTTGATATCATCTGCCATGGTTGGTGGTGGAGGCTTAATGGCTTCATCAGGGAGGATGATGAAATATTTGTTACTGGAGTAATCTTTTTGTCCAGTCTTGCTTCCTGTCTCTCAGAAAGTCTCCTCTTGAGAACCTGGGGGTCTAGAAAAGGAAGCCCTGGGAAATTATCCTGATGTGAGACAGAAGAAAAACTCTAGTGCTCCTAAAGAACTGGAGTCTATAGGTTGCCCATGAGACCTAGTATGGTCAATTGGGGTGATGAAAAAGGTTTGAGTTTCCCTACCAAGTGGATAGCCCTTGTCTGCCAGATTGATACAGTAGCTCTGTGACTGTTTCTAGGTGTCTGGTCCTGTGACATTATCCTGGGGAAGCTTTGCACTTAGACTGAATATAGGTCATTATCATCCTCCTCTTCATTAGATAAAGGTGAAGCAGACAAGAAAGCTGAGGGTGAGTTTTAGTGCCATGGAGAATTCAGGTGATCATTATGTATTTGATACTCGGATTGTGCCAGTACCGACTAACAGGGATTCAGATGTTTGTGACCAGTAAAAGTATTTGGAGAAATGGAATTTGTACAGTATTGTGGTAGCAATCAGTACCATTAAAGTCTGCAGAGAGGGGACCATCAGTGTTGAATCAACAATACCTGTGGTTTGATAAGAGGACAGAGGCTGGTACTGTAGTCTCTTTTGTGGTGCAACAGCCAGGTTCCAAGGCTCTCCTTGACTCTGACAGTGCCATCTTGGAAGTGCTAATGTGCTTTCTACCACTTTTCTCCACAGACTGTACTGATGTCCATGAGCCTGTGCCCTTCAAATCTTTAGACTTACTGGAAGTACCAGTACTTGAGGAGCCTATTGCTTCCTGGGAATCCAGTTGAAATTTAGTTGACACCGAAGTAGTCAATTTTGCCAGGGATCATTTTTCCTGGTCAATTACTTTGTCTAGGATTTTGCAGCCCTTTTTCTGAAGGTTTTCTGAGATGGATGACCGCATCTCCTCTTTAGAGCCATCTGAGTGTGATGTCCTGAGGACCCTGATTGATGGTGGTTGATGGACTGTTGTTCTGAGGCAGTCCCACTGAACTTTCCAACATGAGGAGTGTGCACTTGAATTCATGTTTAATTGTCCTTTATTTTTACTTCAAGTAGAAAATCTATTATGGACAGGGAGACAACTTTTCAAACCCTACCTTCCCAAGACTAAGAAAAAATAATAGTCTAACAAACTGTACTAGTTATACTATCAACTGGAAATATAATGTACAAATAAATCACTTGGACTCTGCTAATGCTTTATTTCAGGCCAAAAGTGGTTGGGAAAGAACTCAGAGTGGTTCACCCATGCAGCACTATATAGCCTCGAGGCAGAGCATGAGATAGCAGTACTTGGTTGGCATAAGTACTTTCCTTATTTAAAATTCAGGAATGCATATCTACAATACAGCAAGAAGAAGGAAAAAAAAACTTTCAAAATTAAGTTTCATCTTCCAGCAGAGATCATGCAAAGAATTCAATCCTGAATAATTCTAGAAAATGGTGGGGAAACAGGAGTTAGAAAGTTTTACCACCTTCACTCACTATAAGTAGCATAGCCAGTGCTGGCTATTAAGATAATGTAGTGAATGGTGTCGTTTAATGTGTGTCGAATACTGGCAGTTATTTCAAAAAGTCTGGATAAACCTATTGTCAAGCTATTTAAAATTTCTTAAAGCTATGAAAGTCTAGTTATTAGGATAACTTAAGTGTATGTTAATTATTGTAAATACTAAAATTGTATAGACAATGTAAGGTGTGCATATTTACATAGTATGGAAAAATGCTGCAGCTACAAGATCTGAGTGTTGGAAAATGTTACAGTAAACTGAAAGAGTACCTAGTCTAGACTCTTCATTATGGATGAATACTTTTGTTTGTATACAATCCATTTAAAAATATACATCTTTATACATTGTAAATTATCTTACAGCATAAAATCATACAGCTTTGGAAACTGATTATCCTGCAATCTGCAGCTAAGATGTCCATAGCTCCACCTAGCGTTTCTATGGAGAAAATAGCAAAAAAGTTTGTTTTAGCTCTTCATTCAAGGAAAAATATAAGGATGACCCCACCACCAGAAGGAAATAAGTCACAAGCATTATGAAGGCTTTAAAGTTGTCAGTTTGACTCCAGGAAACTGGAGCCAAAAGTATTATTGTACAAAAGACAGGCTGCCCACCACTGACTGCACAACCCATCACTTCATTAGTTACAAGTTTCCCATAAGAAACTACAGTACAAAAATCCATTTCAGATCACTGTAGCTGCTTTATGAAGTTTCTGCAGTTGTCATGAGTTATTTTAGAAAACAATTATAGAACCAAGTGGCCAGAATCATGATTTTAACATTACCTCAAGAACACTATAACGAACATAATTGTTACAGAGAAAAAATTATTTGCATGGTGAGTAATTCACAAGTATTTTAAAAGTAACAATTCTCAGTGCATTCGGTTTGATTTTAAGTCGATCAGCCACATGTTTTATACACAAGATTTAAAAAAGCATAGTCTGAAACATTTAAATCTCTTCCCTTAAGATCTAAACACTATCTGATCCATCTTTCAATAATGAGAGTTACAACTGAAACAGTCACATCTTATGAGTTACTTTCACGGCACCCACAGTCAGTGGTGGGTAACCTGCACAATATGATTGTGGGCCACAAGACATTTTGTTGACTATCAACAGACCTTGCCCCCTGCAGCTCCCAATGGCTGCAGTTCACCATTCCCAGACAATAAGAGCTGCCCACAACTGATCTGAGTTGTAGAATTTAAGAAAAATGAGAATTAAAATTAAAATACTTTTATCAGCAGGATTTCACAAACTAGTCATGTTTTAATTTTACATTTCAGCAAGTCTCTAACTTCTATTTAAACTATTGCCAAATATGAATTAGTTTCCAAATATTACATTTGTGGGTCCAACTAAGTTTAGGATGACCCATCCTTCCCACTTGTATAAAGTCTTTGTAAGAAATCCCAACAGTTTTTTGAAGCCTTCTCTTACTATAACAATTTAAAACTGTTACTTAAAGTTGGGGCCACCATTGTGCCTTAAACAACTTTGGAAATAATTACATAGAAGTTTCATTTAATACAAATAAATGTATTCATCAACTTACCAAACGCAGGCTGTGCTTCAGAAGCAGTCTTTACACAAGTGAATGAGGGAGTAGAAGAAATACCGCTGCTTCCATTCGACAGCCCTTCCAAAGGCTTAATTTCTGTACCATTACCAAATCCAGTGAAGCCACCTCCTTTACCAGAAGGTAAAACAAAACCCTTAAACCCTTTAAAAGCTCCTCCACTGTCAGACTGAAAAAAAAAAATACTAGCAGTTACATACCTCACCCACATATTATTCCACCAACTTAGTATTAAACAGTACTACAAACACAGTTCCAAGACTCAGGGGGGTAGTCATATTAGTCTAACTATAAAAATGAGAAGTCCTTTAGCACTTTAGAAACTAAAATAGAGATATATAATTTTGCCCATGAAAGCTCATGATTTTATATAATTTGTTCATCTCTCAGATGCTATAGGACTACTCATTTTTACATTTCCAGTAAAAAATTGTCAAGGATACTTTCAATGGTACTGAATCCTTACAAAAACAAGTAAGGGTGGTTTTTGTAGTTTACTACATTTGACAAATCATTTTCTAGCCATTCTCTATTTACAGAAGTCAGGCATCAACTTCTTTACAGTTCATACATGCTTTGTTTTCAACAAAATGTTTATAATTTACAGTACTTTGGCTCAGGCAACTAACAAATACAAGTACAAAGGTACATACATTCTGCCATATCTGGTGGGGTATTATAAAGTAATTTCAACAGATAGCCATTTAGTTAATTTTCAAGCAATATTTTCCTTCCTTTCTCTATCTGTAAATGTTTATGACTACTAATGGAAGTTTCTCTATCTGTAAATGTCTGACTACTAATGGAAGTATTTTGGCATTGGTGTGAATGTATGGTGAAAGATCTGTAAGATCAGTAATGATTAGGAAAATGCCCTATTTTAAAAAGTATATATTGTACAGTACAGGCAGTCCCCGGGTTACGTACAAGATAGGGACTATAGATTTGTTCTTAAGTTGAATTTGTATGTAAGTCAGAACTGGTACATATTGTAGGGGAAACTCTAGCCAAACATTTCTCCAGAGCTCAGTTTTATTCTCCCACACCTCACTTCCCTCAGTCCTTTATTCTCAAGCTGAGGTGTCTGCTGAGAAAAGCCGCTCCACGTCTCCCTGGTCTGCTGGGGGGAGGGGGTGCTAGCTTCGCGTCTCCCTGGTCTGCTTGGGAGAAGCAGCTAGTGCAAGGTTGCCTCACCCCGTTTGTAAGTAGGGATCCGAAGTAAGTCGGATCCATGTAACCCGGGGACTGCCTGTATGTGGAAGTCTGACAGGAAGATGTGTTAGTAACTAAACATTGTATCATCATTGTTGATGAACAGTTGATATATTCCCATAGCAAGAATCTTGCATAATTAACTTGCTTTGCTGAACACACAACTGTAGAGCTATACAATAACTGGGGGGGGGAAATGTATTTTCCATACATACATCTTCTGCCAGTTTCAGGAAATTTCAGGATGGCAAATTTCAGGCCTAATGGTTAGAAGTATAGCAACTAAAAATAGGGTATTTCAGTAGACATCTGGCAACCTTAACCTTACCACTGCTATATGGACTGTTACTAAAAATACAATAATCTAGGTACATTTGCTGCAGAGGTTATTTGAAATGTGTCCACTATAGTAATTTTTTTAAAAAGGTACTAAGTTAGTTAAATTTTAGGAGAAATGTGCAATACATAAACATTAATAGAGTACAGGTGGCACGTTTTCCAGTATTAAAATCAGTCTAACTATATTAGTGTTAGTTACCTCAAACCCAACATTTCGGCGCTTTGCTTTCTTAATAGCTCTGTTCTTCAGAACTTCTTCACTGGCCACTGAAAAAGTTCCCACCTGTAGGAAGAGTGCAAACCATGGAATCAATGGTGAGGATCTGAGAACAAGCAGGATCAAAATACCATGGAAAGAAACCTATCAGCAGCATCAGTCTTCTGCATTCCAAGCAGTTGTAAGAATGGCCGTTTTGAAACACCGCAGGGAACTGCTCGAGTCCCCGGCTGGCCCCTGCTCCCCACAGTGCTTCAAAGGGGCTATTGCTATATGTCAAAGGCAGAGGTGCCCTTACCGACTAATCAAATAGTGAATACAAATTGCATCAACTATTTGATTAGCCAATTAATCTAAATTTAACATCCCTGAATCAGGCCAATGGTCCATCTAGCCCATTATCCTATCTCCTAACGGAAGCCAAAGCCATTTTTTTTAGAGGGATTAAACAGAACAGGCAATCACTAAGGGACTATTTCACATCATTCACTCCCAGCTTCAGTAGTAACTCCCACTTCCAACAATTAGATTGATTTCTGAAAGTTTGCCAAAGCTTCACAAATGAGAAGTGGAGAATAAAATTAATAGAGGAAAAGGAAGAACAAAATAACGGAAAAAGAACATTGATTTTGAGCACATATATCTTATGAATGACTAGTAAAATGAACAATTTTTCTGCTTCCAAAGGTGATTTCAATCCTTCAGCTGACATTCAAGCAACTGTTCAGGATTGAAGAGCCTTCGTGTTTTGGCAGCAAACACACCTTTCCCTAAAATAAAGAAGAAATACACTTCTCTGAAAGAAAATAATCAGGCAGGATATTTAACATTTATCACTCTTTACGCACCCTATCATATGTGAAGGTATGTCTCTTGAGGCTGATTCCAGAAGGAGGACACCACTGGAAGTATATAACCATAAACCTGCATATAGGCTGTGCAGGAATGATGGTTGTCTGTCTGCTGACCTGGAACAGCAGCAGCTGCCATATGCTGCCCAGGTGACAAAGCAGCCTTATTTAGGGATAGGGCTGCTTTCTTCAAAATAAGAGGGGGAAAGAGGACAATCGCTAAACACAGTTTATTCCAGCTGATTCCTGTTGGTTAACCATGACTGACTGGATATCCAATTTTGTGGTCACAAGCAATCATTGGTAGAGAATGTATACATTATAACACTGATGTTGCAGCCCTAAGAAACTTGCATATCTGATACCACAGAGAATAGAGCAAGCCATGCATATTATTGTGAGGAGCATCCAAGAATTGGCTTCACCATCAGGACATGACTAGTTCCCCAGCTTGAATTCCAGCCACATGCCATCAGTTCTCTTGCCTCATGACCACAAAACCTCCACTGAGGCAGGAATAATGTCTTGTACTTGTTAGTGCATATGCACCCACATTGCCGGCTGCAGGCAGATGATGAAAAGGAAGCTTTCTATGATGGCTGAATTGAGTCATCTCTTCAGTACATTTGAAATCCAAACTATATACAGGCAGTCCCCGGGTTACATGGATCCGACTTACATTGGATCCCTAGTTACAAACGGGGTGAGGCAACCCCGCACTAGCTGCTTCCCCCCAGCAGACCAGGGAGACGCAAAGCTAGCACCCCTCCCAGCCGACCAGGGAGACGTGGAGCGGCTTTTCTCAGCAGACACCTCAGCTTGAGAATAAAGGACTGAGGGAAGTGAGGTGTGGGAGAATAAAACTGAGCTCTGGAGAAATGTTTGGCTAGAGTTTCCCCTACAATATGTACCAGTTCCAACTTACATACAAATTCAACTTAAGAACAAACCTACAGTCCCTATCTTGTACGTAACCCGGGGACTGCCTGTATACACAATTGCCAATTTTAATGCTAGAGTTGGTCAGGACTGCGTCTCATGGCCAAAGATATTTGGGCTTCCTAATATTGGAAGCAAGAATTCAAATGGCCCCCTCCTTCAAACCTTTGTGGAGCTTGAGCTTGCCAGAGGCTAACAAATACAAAGCAACTTAGAATCACCCTCAGTCTATGTACTGGCATATGACTGACTACTTCATTTCAAAACAAAAATCTTTCTGATGTTAAGTTGACTTCTGCAATGCATAACACTGACTCCTGGTCTCACTATTAGATGGTACACACTGTCCTCTCCGAGTCTTTGTCTGCCAAAACGTCATTCTGCTGTATGCTGGAAAAAGTTGGATGCAGGTAAACTTGAAATGCCTAAGACATAAGCATTGTTTCAACTCAGTTTTGATGCTTCCTTAGTAATTAACAATGAAGGTCCAGAGCACTCATCCACTATTGAGAACTGGATAAACATCAAGGAAACAACCTACAAAACTGCTATTGAAATACGAGGCTTCCAAAAACGCAATCCATAAGGACTGGTTTGACAAGGAAAAAGATGCCCAAGATCTTCTTGATAAGATGGATGTGACTCCTGGCCTGGAGCAACAATAAAGAGAATACCTCCAGGAATCTGCTTAGCTTGAATATATGCTGGAGGCACAAGTCAAATTACAGCAAATGAAAGAGGACTGGTGCAAATGAAAAGCAGTCAAACTTCAAGATGCAGCCAACAGACATGATTTTAAAGCATTCTATGATCATCTGAACGCACCCTATGGGCCATGTGTTGCTGGCACTGTCAGTGCGCTCTGCTGATGGCAGCACTACATCAACTTTTGAGCGCAGAATTCTTGAAGAAATTTTGAGAGGGCTAGTGATTCACAGCTGGTTATATTGCCAACACTTGATGAGGAACAAAAAGCTGTCAAGCAGATGAAATCTGTTAAGGCACCTGGAAATGACCAGTTTCCAATCAGAAATTTATAAAGCCAGTGGTGGCCAGCTGATAAACAAATGGGTGAGACAGTGTATCACCATTTGAAAGATTACCCAGGACTTCAACGAATCCCTGATTATGAACATATGACAAAAGGTGACAGTGCATGTTGTAAAGACAGAGGCATCTCACTGCTGTCTATAGCTGGTAAGATCCTGGCCCACAGCCTCTACAACGGGCTGTCATTACATGTATTCACAAATGGCATAGTCTCCGAATGTCAGTGTGGCTTTAGTGCCAGTTGAGGCACTGCCGACACGATATTCACAGCCAGGCACATCCAAGAAAAATAAATAGAGCTCTACATGATTTTTAATCGACGTGACCAAGGTGTTTGACATGCTCATCAGCAGGGCTCGCCAAGCGGCAGCGAGCCCCACTCTCCAGCCGCGCAGTTCGGCATGCTGCGCATGCGCTGTGTGGCTGTGCTGTCTCGTAATCTACTCGCCTCAGGCGAGTAGATTATAGTAATTGTTGAGCCCTGTGTGACGTAGTGGGGGTACCTGGCTGGTTTCTATGCTGCTGGCTCTGGGGTAACCCCCACTGGCTGCCCTGGGTACCACGACCCAGCAAAACAGGATGAGTCACCCATGGAGAGGAACAAAGGAAGGGGGAATGCTGCCCTGGCTGGGGGGCAGGGCTGGAAGAGAGTTAGTTGCTGTCTGAGAGCATGGAGGAGACAGCCTAGGGAAAGGGGCTGGAGTTTAGGGGCCCAGTCTCCCCCCATCTCAAGGGGGCCTGAGGCATCCTAGCCCAGCTCTGTGACCAGATTACATCTGTTCTGTATCCTGGAGAGGCAATAAACTTCCTCTATTCCACCAGCTGGTGCAGTCTGTTTGTGCCATTTCGGGGTGCAGGAGACGGGGGACCCCCAACGCGCCGTCACACCCTGCTCATCAGAAATGGGCTTTGGAGGTACTCAAGCAATTTGGGTGTCCTCAAAAATTTATCAATATAATTCAGTCCTTTCATGATGGCATGCTGGATTGCGTCCAATAATGGAGATGATAGCACCTTTTGGAGTATCAAATAGTACAAAGCAATTATGTGTCCTTGCTCCTCTCCTATTCAGCATCTACTCTTTGATGATGCTGTTAGTTTAGGCATGGACAATAATTTTTGATGGGGACCACACTAAGATTTTGCTAAGTAGTCAAAGGCCATACTTTTCTATGGAGAGGCTGTGGGGTCTGGGATGAAGATTGTGTGCAGAAGGGAACTTGGAGTAGAACTGAAGTGGAAGAGAAGGTGTGAGGTCTGACAGGGAGTTTGGGTGAAGGAGTGGGTTGTGAACTGGGGCAGAGGGGTTGGAGTGCAGGGTCCAGGAGGGGGTCTACATGCAGAAGAGGATTTTGACCATTGCAACCAGCCATCTTGAGCAGTCTGGGTCCTGCCTTGGGGTCCAGCAGGGCTTCTGGCTGGGAACTGCCTAGGTAATCACCTACCAGTTGCAGCCTGTTTCTGACATCCCGGCACATCCTTCTCCCTACCTCTCTATCCCAGGTCACCCTCCAAACACTCCATTCCCCCAGGTCACAACTCCATCCAAGATCCTGCACTCATCCCTGGTCAAACAGAGCTCTGTTCTGGGCACCAGGTGGAGGGGAAGGTTTTCCACACTGCCCCCACCCCAGCAAAATCTCTCCGCTCCCATCTGGTTTCCACAGATCTTTCTCCTGGCTCTGGGAGCAGAGAACTACAGTGGCATGGGGCTGCTCTAAAGCAGCTGGATGCCCTGGGCCTGAGGATCCTGGTGGTCCTGTCTACCCCAATATTAGCTGCTTTCAAGGACTGCACAAGGTCCTTGGATTTCTTATTTTCTTTACCCTACACAGCACAGACACCAAAATTCAGCTTGTGAGAGAGAGAGATCTATCAGCTCCAGGAGGCCTTGCTCCTTTTATGATAACTGAATAGTCTTCTCCAAGACCAAAATGAAAGGGAAATAAGCTAGTAACCCCCCTGCCCTGATTAGTTCCTTCATAACACTAGTTCAGATAGTAATGTGGTGTGATCAGTCCTCAAGGTTTTTTTTTTTTTTTTTTAAGAGGACTTAAAATCAGGACAAATGGACTACTACTTTGTCTACTGCCCTAAAGAATTTAGAGAAAAGGGAGACCTTGTTACCCCACCAAACAAATAATTAACATCATTGTTCAATTCATCTTGGGGACTGACAGGATTTATCCCCTATCCTGTCATTGAAAGCATTCAATATGGGTCTGCAACACCAATTAACTGACCTGGCTGCACCTGGAGGATGGGCCAGCTCTAATTAAAAGATAACTCCCAGCTGGGTGGTTAGTATAAAGAAAGGAAGATTGGAGCAGCAGATGGAAGCTGCAATTAATCTTTAGGACTAGAAAGTAGAGGAAGTCTAGGGGGAAGAATTAGCCTTAGGATCTTCTCTACTTAGGAGAAGTCTGGCAGAGGAGACAGAATATTGGGGGGGAAGCAAACTTCAGTGGTGAGGAATCTTGAAAAAAAGAGCAGGACCTGTAATTCTAGGGAGTGTACTCTGGAAGGTGTTCAGGGAACAGAACAAGGGGAACATAAGAGACATGAAAGATCAAGTTGATGGAGCATGAATTTAGTTTAAGCTTATACTTCTGGTTGATGATTTACTAGAAGATGCCAGAGGAAAGTCCTGAGAGTCTTCCAGCCCTGACAGAAGAGTGAACTAAGTGAGAGGCCAGCTGACAGGCTACAGTATAAGAAAGTCCAAAATAGCAAGAAGTGAAGAGGAACAGATTTTGGCTGCTACAGAGTCTGAACTGGAACCAATGTAGTGGGAGAGCCTGGGTTCTCCTAACAGCTGCTATAGAAAGTGATGTGAGGCCTCACAGAAAGGCATAAGAACAATTAAGATCTAAGACCATGGGATCCACAGTTACAGGCTGAAGATGTTTTGAAAGGACCCTGGTCTGTTGTTTGTTGGACTCATACCCTAGAAGAGTGGAATAAAGATATGAAATGGCTGAAGAACAAAGCCACAAGGAAAGACCAGGGCTAGAACAGCGGGAATTAGTTGAGAAAAGAACTGCTATATCTAACTGCAGAAGGGCGCATGCCAGTGGTGAGTCAATCCTTTTACTACTCATAATTTTTCAAACTTGATCTTTACTTTCTTAATGTTTATCCAGTTTTACAGTATTAGTGTACATCTTACAGATGCTTGTTCTTTACTTCAGAGAAAAGACCTCACTATTTGTTTTGTCCAAGTCATTTTATTTTCTTGCTTGGAAATGCAAAAAAACAAAAACAAAACTTTACCTCCTCAGCTTCATCCTCTTGATCCCAATTCCTGTCAGTCAACTCCTTCTCTGCAATTCTCTTTGCCATTTTTCCCACACCTGTGCAAGAATTTCAGTAATCAGCAATCTCTATTAAGAGCATCAAACTGATTTTAAAAAGAAACCAAAAATTAGTCCGATCTTTATTTTGTGTTAATATAAAAAGGGTTTATAGAAATCACATAAAACTGGAAATATGAATGAAGACTTATGCACACTGGAGGCTCAATTTACAGCATATTGTATCACACAAGGTGCAGGAGTTACTATTTGACACTAAGTTTATGAATTACTATGACATTGTGTGTAACATTGCTTTTACATGTGTAAGAACCTCTAATTGCATCTGAAGTGCACACTCTCGAAAACTTGTAGAATTTTAAGCTAAAAATAACTACTGAAGAGTCAAGACTAAATATGTTGCCCTTTTGAAACCAAACTGCGGAAACATTTAGGAAGTTGGGAAACTTGCACTTTGTTTCAAACACCAAACTGTAGTAAGGCAGCATGACACTTAGTGACTTCTGAAATGTACTGGGAGAGGGAAAATAACCTGTTCATATTTCACCTTAACAATCACTTTATTGGTCTTCACTGCAGTGTAAGAATCTTATACGGTATGCCAGGCATCTAATAGCTGAAAGCTTCTACACTCCAATTTAGCACAAGATGTTCTGAAAATGTATACTTACGCCAACAAATTAAACTATTTTGCCTATATTATACCCTGACAAAATTGTTGATAGATTTAACTATAAACTAAAAAAACCCTATAGAATTATATACTATTTATATAGGAAGGAGTGTTGTGGTGACTTGGGGCTTTTTTAAAAGGTTAGAGATGGGAGTTACAATAAGATCTAAACATTTACGGTTCTATTGTTGAGGTTAAAAGTTTTTCAAATATTAAAACATTTTTATAAACAATTAAATTACCAAGAAGCTTCAAAAAAGTTACAGCACCATTACACCAGAGTTCATGAATTCATTCTCGATTCTCCTTGGCTTGATTCATAAATTTAATTTGGACAATTAATTTTGAGATTTAAACCAATCTTTAGAAGAACATCTAAAAATTAATTTAGATGGGTCTGAAACTGATGTAAATTTCTGGTATTGGTTATATTGTGACATCTGATTTAGTTAAAAGTAATTTAAAATGAACAATTTGAAGGCTCATTTAAAAAATTAAGTTTGAGATAGGTTGCCTGCAGTGTTCCCTGTAAGTCCGTGGTCACCAACCCGTTGATTCTGGGAGCCCCACTCCTCAGAAGCCCCACTACCTACCTCCAGTGACAATGGAGGTAGTGCCAGCTTCCTGCTTCCCTCCCCCAGGTCTACGATGTGCTGAGAACTTGCAGGATGGGGAAGACTCCCCAGAGGAGGTGCATACTGGGAGCTGTCCTCCTCCTGCATCCAAATTCCTCCCAGAGCTTACACCACTTACCCCTTTCCACACCCAAATCCCTCATTCCCATCCCAGAGCCCACATCCTGTCTCCACCCAGTGGGGGTATGGCTAGAAAAACTCCTCCGCATCCAAGGACACGTTTGTTCTTCCACCTTTTTTAGTAGAAGAGCAAACGTACTCTTTCGGTAACCCATGTATTCCTCGTTCCACGAGGAATAAGGGGGCTTCCGAAAGGTTTTTTTATGACACTTGGTCCAGTCTAGACAGGCCAAATGTTGGAAAAATCTCTTCCTACAGAAGTACCAAAAAAGAGCAGCAGCGTAGACTGTATAAGGGCTGGGGATAGCAAGTGACTGAGAGGAGGAGAATAGAGAGGGTAGGGCTTCAAGGAAGGGGTGAGGTTTTGAGGGAAGGATGGGGCGGCAGACCACGGCTTGTTCTGACATTTAAAAAGTGATCTGGGGTGTAAAAAGGTTGGAGACCACTGCTGTAAGAAGTGCACTTGTGCAGCCTCTCAGATTAAATGCTGGACAGCTGGCTAGAGCTTTTTGTTTGTTGGTGGTGCACATTCACACATGCCTTGATACACACAAAATTCTGTACATAGATGGAAAAGATTAGAGGAACATTAATTACCTGTAAGAACTTAGGCATTTAATGCAGTGTGTGGAGTAAAGTTTTAGAGTATTCTTTAACTCAACATCTCAACTTTCTGCGAATCTCAAATTTCAATATCTCAACATGATTCAACCTCATGGGAAACTGTACACTTTCTACAATTAAGTGAAATTTCTATAAGACTGTCAGAAAAGATACTTCAATTTTTCATACTGAAAAATGAATAGGATGTCATTTTGCAGTTTGTCAAATATTTCACAGTACAAAAGTAAGTGAGACTAATGTACCACTTCAATTTACCATCATCAAAACTACCTTGCTTTTGATAAGAGGATGGTGGAGCTCAACTCCTTCAAGGACAAGTATATATTTTTTTAAATGATACACTTCTTGATGTCTTAATTATACCATATTCCTATTCTATATGAACACATCTAGGGATATTAAAATTAGATTTAATCAAGTAGCTGTTGCGATTTCCATCAACTAGTCGATAAGGAAGGCATAGGCTATCCTGCAGTGCCTCTCCCTTTGAGAAATGTACAAGAGCTGTCTGCCTCTCATGTACATTTCAAAGGGAGAAGTGCACCAGTCAGGACATCTCCGCCTCCCCTCCTCCCTGCAGAAGTTCCACTATTAAGAAAACCCTCTCTACATAAACCCCTCTTGCCTTCATATCTTGAGCTTACTGATGGTTTGCTAATAGATCTCTGGGCATCAAACAAGTGAGACCTATTAAAGATTCACTGTTCAAAAGAAGATTGATAGTAATAGCATTAGCTTGCCTGAAATTTACTTCCTGTGCACATTAAAATACGTAATGAAATAGACTCCTGATGAAGGAGGTTAAGCTGCAACACTTTCTCTGCAACCAGCAGGATAGAAAAGGAAAAGCAG